TCTGTGAGTCATACCTTATCGTCGGTGGAATGGTACATGGCATTTGGCACTTAGATTTGATGTTTTAAACTGGAGCACTATTATAGCTCATTTAACAGATCATCATAAATCAGTTTAGATTGCTGTTGGATTGGAGCTTGTGTGTGTGGAGATAAGATAAGGAATTTGGTTCTTTTAGGTATTTAGAACCCTTGGAAGATCAGGTTCAAATATTTACCAGATTTTATTTTCAAATAATTCAAATTTATAGAAAGTTAAAATATAATACACATAAATCCTATCCTAACCCTTCGGCTGCCAACTGGACTTGTCCTGGTACTAGTCTGTGGCAGGCTAGAAACCTGGCTGCACAGCAGGAGGTGAGCACATGGGAGCAGGCGTTACTGCTTGGGCCCTGCCTCCTGTTAGATCTGCAACATTGGATTCTCATAGGAGTGTAAAGCCTCTTGAGAACTTCGCATGTGGGGGATCTAAGTTACACACTCCTTAATGAGAACCTGAGGCCTGATGATCTGAAGTGGAGCAGTTTCATCCTGAAATCATCCCGCTTGCCCCCCAACCCATGGAAAAATTGTCTTCCATGAAACTAGTTCCCAGACCTCTTAACAAGATTAACCCATTGTTAACATTTTGTGCTATTTACTTATTCATTCTCTGTCATATTTTTTCTGAATCTTTTGAGATTAAATTGCATACATCATGTTCCTTTGCCGTGTAATACTTTATAGTTTCTAAGAACAAGGACATTCTCTTGTGTAACTACATTACAGTTACTAAATTAAGGAAATACACAAGTATCTAATACACAGTCCACATTCAAATTTTGCTAGTTTTCTCAATAATGTGTTTTTTTTTTTTTTTTTTTTTTTTTTGGTGAGATGGGGTTTTGTTCTTGTTGTCTAGTATGGTGCGATCTTGGATCACTGCAACCTCTGCCTCCCAGATTCAAGTGATTCTCTGGCTCAGCCTCCTGAGTAGTTGGAATTACAAGCCTGCCACCATGCCCGGCTCATTTTTGTGTTTTTAATAGAGATGGGGTTTTGCCATGTTAATGAGGCTGGTCTTGAACTTCTGACCTCAGGTGATCCACCCGCCTTGGCCTCCCAAAGTGCTGGGATTACAGGTGTGAGCCCAATAATGTTCTTTTAATGATTTTTTAATTTTCCTGTCCCGAATCCAAACCATAATCATGCATTGCATTTAGTTGCCACACCTCTTTATTCTTCTTTAATCAGGAATATTTCTTAAGCCTTTCTTTGTTTTTAGCGACATTGACATTTTTGAAGAGAGTGACAGACCATTTATTTGTAGAATCTCCCTCAATTCGAGTGTATCGGATGTGTCCTCGGGATAAAATTTAGGATATGTAGTTTTGGCAGGAATGTTACAACTGTTGTGTGTTTTTCGGTGCATCACATTAGGAGGCACATGTCCACTTGTTCCCTTATCAGTGATACTTACTTAGATCGTTAGGTTAATGTGATACCTGCTAGGTTCCTCTACTGAAGTTCGTATTTTTCCTTCTGTAATCATAATTTGTGGGGAGATACTATTAGACTCAGTATATACCAGTTCTCATCAAACTTTCATTCACAAAGAGCTTTAACATTCTTTGGTAACTTTGTCTGAATCAAGTTATTACTATGATGGTAATAATTCAGATATTTAATTGGGTTTAGATATTTAACCAGGTTTAGGTATTTAATTACACCAGCTCATACTATAGTAGGAACTTCTTTGAGCTGCTGGATTCCGTAGCATTATAAAATGCTTTGTGTTGAACAAGAATGTCTCCTCAGACTTGTATACACTTTCAGGTTCTGTACTCTGTACCACATGAGATGAGCCTGCTTTTTTGTCTCTGTAACTGCCCTTCAAAATGTGTTCTTTTTTGTCTTTTCAGTAGGTTACTTGCTTCAATTTCATATAGTCACTTCTAGTAAGAGATAGCTTTCCTGATTTTTTTTTTTCTTTTTTTTATGACGGAGCTCACTCTGTTGTCCAGACTAGAGGGCAGTGGCAGGATCTTGGCTCACTGCAACATCCGCCTCCCGGGTTCAAGCGATTCTCCTGCCTCTCAGCCTCCCGAGTAGCTGGGACTACAGGCATGTGCCACCATGCCCGGCTAACTTTCTGTATTTTTAGTAGAGACAGGGTTTCACTGTGTTAGCCAGGATGGTCTCAATATCCTGACCTTGTGATCTGCCCACCTCAGCCCCCCAGAGTGCTAGGATTACAGGCATGAGCCACCGCGCCCGGCCCTAAATCAGAAAGTTTTAATCAGTTCTACTGAAGCAAAGTTGGACTCTTGGAGGAATATTTTAACTTGTAATGATAGAATACCTTTCATAAAACTCTTATGAGATTTTGAAATATTTTAAAAATATTTACAGTATAAGTCAATTCTGCAGAAACAGTTATTTTGAATAAACCCTAAAACATCAGGTCGTCTTTTATAGCATAACAAATGTTAAATATCTCAGCATTAAATAGTTTTAAAATTAGCCTATGAAATTCGGAGTGTTTGGTTGCTATTTCTCATGGTGTTTTTGAGTTATGTTGCTAATATAAATAGTACATTTACTATGTTTGTGAAATCTTGAAAGTTTTTTCTAAAATTTATGATTAAGTTTTTTCTAAAATTGAGGCCAATATACATATTAGGCCAGTGTTTGTATAGGGGAAAAGTAGTTATCTCAGTATTCTAGGACGTTTTAATTAAAGTGTACATATTTTGGCTGAAGTTTACTTATAGTTGTATTTAAAAGTGCAGGTGAATAGGAAATGCATTGAAACATCTAAACCTAAAATCTATCTCAGTATTAGCATATAGCAGATACACGAATATCTGGTGCTATTATGTATTAAAGTTGATATATAATAATGGTGTTAGTTTTTTGTTTTTTTTTTTTAAATGGAGTCTCAATTTGTTGCCTAGGCTGGAGTGCAGTGGCACAATGTCGGCTCACTGCAACCTCCACTTTGAGGTTCAAGCGATCCTCCTGCCTCAGTCCCCCTAGTAGCTGGGATTACAGGTGCACACCAGCATGCTTGGCTAATTTTTGTGTTTTTAGCAGGTTTCGCCATGTTGGTCAGACTGGTCTCAAACTCCTGACCTCAGGCGATCCGCCCGCCTCAGCCTCCCAAAGTGCTGGAATTACAGGCGTGAGCTACTGTGCCCAGCCGGTGTTAGATTATTATCTTAAAATTAGATTGGATAAGGAAATGAGCGGTAAAACTCTGAAGAATAATATCTGTCTTTTTTTTTTTTTTTTTTTTTTTTGAGATGGAGTTTTGCTCTTGTTGCCCAGGATGGTGTAATGGCGCAATCTTGGCTCTCCGCAACCTCTGCCTCCCAGGTTCAAGCGATTCTTTTGCCACAGCCTCCCGAGTAGCTGGGATTACAAGCATACACCACCATGCCTGGCTGACTTTGTATTTTTAGTAGAGATGGGGTTTCTCCGTGTTGGCCAGGCTGGCCTTGAGCTCCCAACCTCAGGTGATCCGGCCGCCTCGGCCTTCCAAAGTGCTGGGATTACAGGAGTGAGCCAGCGTGCCTGGCATGTGTCAGATTTTTAAATGGCACTTCATTTTTATCTAGGAATATAAATTTTTTTAAAAAAATTAAATCTTTTGGCCCAGTGCGGTGGCTCATGCCTGTAATCCCAGCACTTTGGGAGGCTGAGGTAGGTGGATCACCTGAGATCAGGAGTTTGAGACCAGCCCTGCCAACATAATGAAACCCTGTCTCTACTAAAAATACAAAAATTAGCCAGGTGTTGGGGGTAGGTACCTATAGTGCCAGCTACTCTGGAGGCTGAGGCAGGAGAGTTGGTTAAACCCGGGAGGCAGAGGTTGTAGTAAGCCGAGATCGTGCCATTGCACTCCAGCCTGGGCAACAAGAATGAAATTCTGCCTCAAAGAAAAAAAAATTCAAATCTTTTAAATTAAAATCTTTATTTCTGTAGTGCAAATTGTCATTTGACTCCCTGCGTAATACATATTTGCTAATGGGAAGGAGAAATAAATATTTTTTATCTTTTAATTGTTGTTAGTTCCTAATATACAGACCTTCTATTTTTTTGGTATTTTGAAAGTTTAGGAGGATGAATTTGTTTTTTAAATGCGAATGAGGTTTTAATTTCTAGGCAAGACTTCTAATACTTGATTTAACCTGTAGCAATAATGGTACTGTAGAAATTTGAATCTGTCAAGTAATGTGCTGTAAACTATAGAAAATGTCAGCAACGCCGGGCGCGGTGGCTCAAACCTGTAATCCCAGCACTTTGGGAGGCCGAGGCGGGTGGATCACGAGGTCAAGAGATCGAGACCATCCTGGTCAACATGGTGAAACCCCGTCTCTACTAAAAATACAAAAAATTAGCTGGGCATGGTGGCGTGTGCCTGTAATCCCAGCTACTCAGGAGGCTGAGGCAGGAGAATCGCCTGAACCCAGGAGACGGAGGTTGCGGTGAGCCGAGATCGCGCCATTGCACTCCAGCCTGGGTAACAAGAGCGAAACTCCGTCTCAAAAAAAAAAAAAAAGAAAATGTCAGCAACATGGCTCCTCCTGCTGTCACAATAGGACTAAGGATCTCATTCTCCCTAATCGGGTGCCATGACATGGTTATACTTGGGACTAAAGGCACTCCACCGACTCTGTAAAAGCGTTCTTTAGTTGGTAGTTGTTTAATTAAATTGGCTAGACTTAAGGAAAACAGAAAAATTCCTGCTTTTGGTTACTTTGGATAAATTGATTGTATAAAGTAATCCTTACTCACCTAGTTTGTGGCCAGGTGTAGAAAATCTATGGGTTAGCTATATGCATATTGTTACATGAGTGTCAAATACCAATTGGAATGTTTTTATTTTTCAATTTTTCTTTAACAACACTTACTTACCTAGCTATAATAGTGAAAGCACTCCTTAAAATTTTAGTTGATTAAAATGTGCATAAATTTTGTATGTCTCAACTCTGTTTCATGTTAAATGTGTTACAGGAATGAATCTGAAGTCTGCTGCAGTAAAACACTGAAGGCTTTAAAATGTTTTCTTGCATAAAACTCAAAACTTTTAAGTAGCTGCTTATGAGGATAGGGAAGGCAGAAAGCTAATGTGTGTCTCAAGATACAGGACAGCTGTTTGCTCATCAACCTCAACTGTGTGAGTAGAGACTTAAGCCTGTAACCCTATGTAATTGGACATAGTAACTTAATTTTTTTTTTTTTTTATTTAAAATGCTTGAAGATACACTGAGTCATCATGATGAGATATTTTTAGGGTGTATTTTTTTCTGGTGGGTAGGATACTGAGGGTGGAGTGGGTGGTAGATTTTCATTTATATAATATTTTGTGTAATAACATTTATAACTAATCTTATTAATGGTCACGTATCTTTTTTCAGAATTATTCTAAGCATTGGAATCTGCATTACTAATTTTGTTATTGTGAAGCAAAAGATTGTAATTCTTTAGATTGCTGTGTGTTTTGCAGTTGATTTCAGCCATTTAAAGTTAATATTTTGACCAGACAAGCCTAAAAAGAAATTACTTGGGATTATGATGTTTGATATTAATATAGAAAATTGCCTCGGGAAATAATTTAAATTATAATTTTAAAAGTTAATATTTTTAAAAATAGCTTTATTTAATCAAAGCATATATCAAAACACAAGCACCCTTGTTCCCTAAATGCAATTGAAAGTTTTTTAAATTTGCCAATTTTATTTGTTAAAGTACTTTGACTAACTGAAAACCCTGTCAAAGAAAAAAAAATTCTCCTTTTCCTTTCTCTAAGTTATCATCTTAAGAATCTATGGCAGAGGGTGGTGCTTGTTTTTTTTCTACCCTCCTCCCCCCACTTTTTCTTTATGGATTTAGGAGTGAGATTCTTAATTGGATGTTTTTTCTCTCTCTTTAGAAGAATGCATTGTTTGTACAGATGGAGTGATTAAATTATAGAGCATTGTATTGAGCAAAATGATGAGTATGTAGACACTGACTTATAAAATCTTGTTAACTGTTCACTGAGGCATGGAGTAGAAGGAATGTTATGTGGTATAGTTGCACTAAAATGAAATTACTTTCTCTTTCATAACACAAATGTGTTGACTGAAGGAAAATAAAAGTGGAATCAGCGAATGAAAAACATTTTAAAAACATGTAAAGAATACACATTGAATATGGATTTTTTTTTTTTTTTTTTTTTTTTTTTTAAGACGGAGTCTCACTCTGTCACCTAGGCTGGAGTGCAGTGGCACAATCTCAGCTCACTGCAACCTCCGCCTCCCAGGTTCAAGGAATTCTCCTATTTCAGCCTTCTAAGTAGCTGGGTCTACTGGCATGTACCACCATGCCTGGCTAATTTTTGTATTTTAAGTAGAGGGGGGGTTTCACCATGTTGGCCAGGCTGGTCTCAAACTCCTGACCTCAAATGATCCACCTGGCTTGGCTTCCTGCCTCCCAAAATGCTGGGATTACAGGTGTGAGCCACCATGCCTGGCCGAATATGGATATTCTTAATGAAACTAGTCAAAGGATACATGGCAGAAATGGAGAGATACATGTTGCTGCATTCAAAACTAGTGAAAAACCCAAAGATTTCATTTTGCCCATTATTTTCTTTTCTATATTGGTCAATAGACATGTAACACTGTGTGTATCTACAGAGATTATCTAGTTCCTAATCTTTCAATAGTTCTAGAGAAGAAATATTTATAATCTTGTTTAATGATGACAAGCCTCACTTTAGTGCAGTGGGTCTGTAATACGAAATTTAATTCTTAATTTACAGCCATTTGGCATTTCCCTTGTAAAGCAAAGTTTTAATTTGATGCTGCTATTTTGTATACAGTACTTCATCACCCTTCCCTCCTCTTTTTTAATTAGTGTCAAAAATAAAGAAAATTCAAGGTGAGAGAAGGCTTTGGAACATACTAATGAAACTTTGATTTTTAAAATGAGATTAGGCAGAAAGAACACATAATAGGAAAGAGAGTTGCTTTTATCACTGTAGAGGGTTTAGGGGGAAATTGTATGATAGTAAATTGGTCCCAAATTTCTTTTTGTCTCTCTGAGATGATTCTCTGTGTTCTGTTCTATATTACTCTTCTCTCAAGGGGGTAAAATGCTTCAGAAGCTAATTAACTTTACTCAGAACGTACATGTAGGAATATGTGAACACCATATATCAAACTCTTCTACTTTATTCCCTCTGCCTTGCTCTACCCTTTACCTTACCACAGTAGTATAGGCTTCTCATTGATCCTGTACCCAATTCTATCATTTAGTTTTGCTTAGATTTGTTAAAGTATCTGAGCTTCTTTTATGGCTGTATAATGCAGCATGATTAAAATGAAGTTCCTGGGCCATGTAAGGCTATGTACCATGGTTATGTACACAGGCTATAGAGTCTGGCTTCTTGAGTTCAGATCCTAGCTGTCCCTCCTAACATCTCTGTGATACTGAGCTAATTACTTAAACCTTCCTGGGCTTCAGTTGTGTATTCTGTAAAATAGATACAGCAATAATTTGCTACCTGATGGGATATTGTGAGGTTGAGTGAATCATCACTGCTTGCAAACTTTATTATCATTACTAAACCCATTTGCTCTTTGAGAGGAGGAATACTAGGTAGCATATTATAAATGCTCGAAGTAGTAGATTTTAAGGCTTTAGGATTAAGAATTTGAACATCACAAAGTAGGGTATGTTCAAATAAGGTGTCATGAGAAACATCTCCGGAACAGTAAAATAGAAACCGTTACTCCCGGCTGGGTCACACCTGTAATTCCAGCACTTTGGGAGGCTAAGGGGGTCAGATCACGAGGTCAGGCGTTGAAGACCAGTTTGGCCAACATGGTGGAACCCCGTCTCCACTAAAGATACAAAAAATTAGCTGGGCACGGTGATGCATGCCTGTAATCCCAGCTGCTGGGACGCTGAGGCAGGAGAATCACTTGAACCCAGGGAGGTGGAGGTTGCAGTGAGCTGAGATCGTGCCATTGCACTCCAGGCTGGGCAATGGGGTGAGACTCCATCCCAAAAAAAAAAAAAAAATCTTTACTCCCCTGCCTTCCCGTTCCCAATCTGCTATATGCGTTACCCTTATTTCACATTCTCAGTAGCCACGTGTGGCTGATAGCTGCTAGATTGGACAACACTGTTCTAGATAGTTGTTTTTACTAGGTAGTGTATTTGCATTAAACATGACATTTATTGATGGCACAATTCTGTTTGTCTGGAACATGAAAGATTGGCTCTTGCATCTGATACAAATTCACAAATAAAGAGAAGAGGAAGCAAAAAACATTTCTTCCAGAACCTTGGTGAAGATTAGGTATATTTTCTCTGGGTTTTATGTAAAGTGATTTTTAAACAATTTAAAAAATTCATTATAGGGTAGTTATTTTTATTTTTTATTTTTATTTTTGAGATGAAGTTTCACTCTTGTTGCCGGGGCTGGAGTGTAGTGGCATGATTCTCCTGCCTCAGCCTCCCAAGTAGCCGGGTTTACAGGCATGCACCACCATGCCCAAGTAATTTTGTATTTTTAGTAGAGATAGGGTTTTACCATGTTGGTCAGGTTGGTCTCGAACTCCTGATCTCAGGCAATCCACCTACCGTGGCCTCCCAAAGTGTTGGGATTAAAAGTGTGTGCCCCCGTGCCCAGCCTGGTGGTTATTTTTAAATAAAGGTATTGACAGGTGAATCAAGCAGTGTTGCTAGCATTGAAGTCTGTCAGTGACTACTCGCATTAAAGTGAGCCGTCTGTTTATATGTGTTATGGCAATGAAAACTAATTTTTACACTTAGATGCTTGCAGAGTTTTTTCTAATGTAGAAGCACCTTTGAAGACTGGCAATGTTATGGGTGGTAGATTAATTTAGAGTCTTTCAGGAAGGACTAGGTTTCAGTTAGTGGCTTTATTGTGAGAGAAATTTATGTGTTTGAGTTAATTCCACTAAAGGTTAAGTCTAGATTTCAGCACTGATAATCATTTTTACTTTGTGCTTAGAAATAGTGTAGGTGTTAGGGGAGATACCAAAGGATAGGAACAAAGTATTAATGTTGTGTTCTAAAAGAAATCACTGTTCACTGGATTCTAATCAGGGACCAGAGCATATGGAAACAGACATGCATTTTAACTAAGGAAAGAAAAAAGGATTATTTAAAAAAATCATTGGAAAATCATTTGGAATTGAATTGCAAGTATGTAGCCTTGGTACTTTTTATGTGTGTGCTATTCTGTCTCTTCCCCACTCCCACCCATGACTTTAGATAGGTTCATTGGGTCAGTATTCATCCAGATCCAATTAGCTTGTCTGGAGGGTTTATCCATGGTACTAAAAGGGCAGCAAGAGCTGAGTTACAGTATACAGATTGTCTTAGAAGGGAATGTTAGCAGGGAGGCAGTGAATGGCATGTGTGACTTCAATTTCTTTAACTAATTAGGAGCATGTGTGAGAACGTTACCTCCCTCATACAGATTTGGTGAGGACTAAGTCAGATAATCTGTATAAAGTGCTTGGCCCCGGGCCTAGTACGTAATAATGAGTTGACATTTTCATTGAGTGCTTACTCGAATACACACCTAATTATATAGTTTTTCCTACCTGATTTTTTTAATTTAGGGAAAAAATTTGGAGAACTTAGTAGGATAAATTGGTGATTTGGGGATATACACTCAGAACATCTCAATTCAGTGTGGTAACTGCCTAACTGAATTTTAACTCTCATAACTGGCGGTCTAGATAGGCTCTAAAGTGTTCATGATACAGTATATCAACCCTACCTCAGATTGGCTTACTGTTGAACATTGTTGAATTTGCTCTTAATCAAGAACTTAGAGTGTCTGCATTTTTTTAGCCATTTGAACCCCTTTATTTAATTGAAAAACAAACTATTCTATTTGAAGCAGAGATTTGTAACCCATTCTCCCTTCTCAATCTGCTCTCTCCCTACCCTTTTCTTCTGCCCCAGCAACCCTTGAAAAATCAAAAGCACACTAAGAGGAATAAATTTTATAAAGGATTACCTAGATGATAAGCCTGAATGATAGGTTCATCATTATTAGTATTTTTTTTAAGAGATAGAGTCTTGCTCTGACACTCATGCAGGGGTGCAGTGGTGCGATCTCAGCTCACTGCAGTCTCAATTTCTCAA